TAGTTCAACTTGAGTTAGAATGTGGAAATTGGATCACTTCCGACTGAATTTGATTCTCCATCAAAAGGCAAGCGTATTAGAACTGAGACGAGTCAGCCATCTGGAGAGCGTTTTGAAGATGATAGTGACAATGATGATAATGATAATTATGATGATAAAACAGAAAGTGCAGAGGAAGATAATCTTTTGAACATGTTGCCTATTTCACATGAAATTAAATTAAATGACCATTTTAAGGTTGACCGTTATCTTTGTTCTCATTTGGACAATGGATGTCGTAGAATGTTTTAACACAAAGCAATTGTTATTTTTAGACATTACAGCATTGGCTCTTGATCCTGCTGGCGCGCGGAAGCTATGATTATGACATAAAGTTTTGGGATTTTGCTGGAATGGATTCTAGCTTGCGTCCATTTCATAGTCTTCGTCCGTGTGGTGATCACCAAGTATGTTTTATTTTTATACTTGATTTTATGTAAAACTGCAGAAGGTCTCATATTTATGAATATTATTGATTTTGATGTATAGATTCATCATATCGAATATAGTTTAAGTGGTGACCAGTTCTTGATTATTTCCGGTTCTGCACGACTAAATTATATGATCGAGATGGCTTCGAAATGTGAGGCCTTTATGTGAAATTCATTCTTAATTTTAATGTTTTTAGTAATTAATTCTATTCTATTTAATCAGTGAAGAGTATATTAAGGGTGATCCTTATATACGTGATATGAGAAATACAAGGTTGATATATCTTTCACATAATTATTGTTTTTATGAAACGATTTTTTAATTATTGATCGATTAGTAGACACGTGGCTGCATTAACATCTGGTGGATGGCATCCACATGATAAAAAATGCTTTTTCACAGCCTCTGCTGATAGCACGATAAGGTACTAAGTTAGATAATATAAATCAATTTATGATACTTTAAATTTGGCCTGGGTTTCATAAAAACTTCTCTTTAATTTTCTGCTCTTCTTGTAGATTATGGGATGTGGAAAATAAGCGTAAACAGAAACAAGTTATTGTGTTTAAAACTAAAGAACGTGGCGGTAGGACTATAGTCACGGCAGTTGCATATAGTCCCGATGCTAAATTAATCGCTGCTGGTAAATATATGATATAGTATAACTATAGCATTTGATTTAATAATTGCATTTGGTATCTTAAATGCATTATTTATTTAGCTGTCCAAGATGGTAACTTGTGTTTCTGGCCTGTAAATCGACTATATATGCTCGTCCTTCACACATGAGTAATTACCAAATAATAATAATAATAATAATAATAATAAATAATTTTTTTTGGTATCTCTTTTCTATTAATCTCTCAACTATGTGAAGTTCAAGCTGTTATAAAGTGAAAATTCTTCTTTCTTTTTCATTAAAGCTCTTAAGTTTCTATAGTTCTTCAATAAAATATATTCTGTTCATCATTACTCTATAGTTTATACATTATTTTCTTCTTTTCATATTTATTCTTTTTACAAATTTATAGTATAAAATAAAAAATATATAAAAACACAAAACTTATAAAATCACACAAAAAATCTTCTATTATTTTTACTTTTCTTTCTATCTTATAGTTCAAATATTTTTTTTTATTATGTTTAAAAAGCAGAAAAAATACTAATTATAATAATTTTAATTGAATTATCTTCTTTAATATTAGATCTTTATTTGGTGCTATCTGCATAATAAATTATCTTCTATATTACTTTTCTTGAAAATCAATTTTATATTGAATATATAGATAATCATTTATGTATTTAATTAATTAGATTTTACATATTATTATACAAATGATTACTATATATATTATAATTATAAATTTAGTTATTAATATTTTTAATTATAATTAATATTTTTTTATTATTTTAATTTATTTTTTATTTATATATTATATTATTATTTATCATATTTATAATTATTTAATTATGATTAGTTATCTTTTAGAAATATGAATTAAGTTAATTAACTATAAACTTTTAGTTATATAATGTAAAATATCAGAAAAATTCACATAAAAGATTAAGATATAGCAAAATAAATAAAATAATATTCATATAGAAAACTAATTCAAGAATAAACAAGATTATTATATTTAAAACTTAATTTTTATTATGATGATTATTATCATTATTAAAATTATAAAATAAATATAATAATAATAATTAATAAGAAATTAATAATATATAATATTTATATAATAATATTTCTGAAAGATACTTATTAATATATAAATATAGAAAATAAATATATAATATACTAGCTATATTAATAAAATAAGAAAAAAAAGAAATTCTACTAAGAAACTTGTTATAGTTAAAATAACTCAATTATATTATATGACTTTTCTTATCAAGATGAAATAATTATAATATAATAGTTATATATAATATAATATATTATTATCATAATAATAAAAATTTTTTAATTTTATAATTTTTCAAACTTGGAATTTTTAACTAATCAGTTAATTTTTAGAAAATATATGATTTTAAATAATATAATTGATATATTAGTTATAAATTTAATTATGATTCAGTAATATTTTAGTAATATTTCTGCAATATTTTAGTAATACTTCAAGATTATGAATAAATAACAGTTTACAAATAGCTTAATAATACTTCAGAAATGCTTCAGAAATAGTTTAACAATGAATTTAATTTATTTTTATTATTATTTTTTTCTTTTTAGAATATTTATCTTATCTTTTCATTTTATTTTATTATTTGTATTATTTTATAACTTAGTATATATATCTTATCTCTTTATTTTACCTGTTTATTTATAATTCTTTATTTCAAAATTTATAATTATATACTAGAGTAGCAAATGAGTTAAAAGTAAAGTTTAGATAGAATTTATAAAATTTCAAAGATATATAAATATCTTTAATTTCAAATATAAAATAAATATATTTAAATAGTAATAATTTAATTATCTTTAAAAATACTTGAGTTATACTTATCTTATAATTTTTTCTTGATCTTTATCTTGATATTTTACTTTCATTTACCTCTTCTATTATAGTAGATTATATTTTGATTATTTATATATTTTCTTTATTTGAAAAATATAGATAGTAAATGTCTTTTACTTAAAATAAGTCAAGTATATTTATTTAATTTAGAAGATTCTTGTAAGCTTTTCTATATATAAAAGCTTTTGATTTGTTTTGGTATATATTCTTTATTTACCTAATAATTGAAAAGATATTATTAGAAGATTTAGTTAGTATATTAAATCTTTTATTTTTATTATAATATTTATTATTTTAGTTTTCATAATTATAACTTCTCTTTATTTTATTTTATTTTTATTTTGTATTAATATAATACTTATAAGTATTAATACTTAAAATAATCATAATTCTCTTTATCTTTATAAATAATTTAGTCTTTGCTT